CACGTAAGAAAAGGAAAAACAAAAAAACGAGACAGCTACTGTATGTGCAAAACTAGAATGAATCTTCTCCTAGAAACTGGAACCATACAAGCCATCCATTTTTCTTTTCTGCAAGTGTTGATGAGTGGAGCGAGGCCCTTAGGGCCACTGCACGTAAGAAAAGGAAAAACAAAAAGGGAGACAGCTACTGTAGTGGTTGTAGTAAGTTCGTAACCCATAACTCTTGGAACACAGACCTGAATCGGAATCCAGGAGATATTGCTGGCCTGTGCGAGGATCTGGGTCCTAGGCAGGCCTAAGGGCCCCCTGCTGCAAATGTGCCCGCCCTAAGTGACGGCGAGCCTAACAAATCACAAGAGGCCCTAAGCTGTCAAATTCGTATTTGGGGTCCAGGCAGTTTTGTCGCGCCAGTTGGTTGAGGAAACACCGGCCGAGCAGCAAGGAAATCCCACGGCCTTCTAGGCTTTCAGGCCCTGGGTGAGATTCGCAGCCCCCAACTGAATGAGGCCCAGTAGCTGCACCAGAGGTGCCGCATCCTGGGGCCTACCGGAAGCTTCTGGGCCCAGGCCCACACCAGTCAGGCTGTGAAGGCAGGCAAACTCTTTCCATATAGGAAAGAGCTCGTTGCCTGGCGCCTCATTCAGGCACTCGCATGCTAGCGGCAGCGCTGCTGGAGAGGACGCTTGTGGGCTCCTGCTGGCGCTGAGAGGCGAGGTGCAAGCGTGAGCGGTTGTGCAAGAAGCAGGGCGCTGCTGAGACCAGCGCCATAGCCCAGCCTTCATAGCTGGCTGAGGGCTTGGATGTATAGTGAGGCGCAGGGGTGGTCTTCGGGTGTACAAAGGGAAGACATGGGAGTAAGACGAGGGAGAGAGAGAGCGAAGGATGATGATGATGATGTGAGGGCACATACCTGGTATTGGCGATGGTCTGCATGGGCGACATCTTCAAGTACTTCGGAGGCTGCTGACGTCAACAGTTGCATTGTTAATTAGTAGGCTAGTAGTAGCTGTGTAGGGAGTAGGCTGGGCGCCGAGTGCCAAGTAGGGAGATAAGGACTGGATACATATGTTGGTGGTGGCGAAAGCAAGCTCTCATTGACATTGGTTTTCAGTGCTACGATTCTCCATTGGTGTCATATTGGTGCAATGCTGCTTTCTGAACACTGATACGATCTGGCTTTCAATGTGATTGTGCAAATCTGAATATTGTCATCTCGCTATTGCTCATTGCCCTTGCAATTTGGTATCGGAGCTGGTTCGAACTGCGCTAATTGGTTCTTCGCAATAGCTGTTCGGTGCTTCGCATGAGGTGTGGGACAGTGATAAGGCTTGGGCGTTGGACGTAAGACGGCCCACGGTCGTGTGGGCGCGCCAGGAAGCTATGTGGTGACATTAGGGGTGTACGCTGGATGATGAGAGCTCGCTGATGTGGCATTTAAGCCGAGGTGGAACCGCATACTGCTGTTGGTTGTGCCGAGGCAAAAGCCGGTCATCATAAATGCACATCAGGTTGCCGGTGAGAAATCTGTGGTTGGGGGCAGCATTATGAGGTACGTTGCTCTCTTCCTTACCTACCCTCTTCATTACTTCTTACAGTGAGGAAGTGAGTTCTGTCTTGAGAGTCCTCTCAATGTGAGGTGTCGCGAGCGCTCAACCTTCAGAGTCGACATTCTTCCTGGGCAACAAGCTGGTGGGAGGCGGGCGATGCCTCTGAAGGGCCCTGGACGAAGCACTCGGGTCACGGTCATCATGCCAACCCGCTGGGACTAGTACACGCATGCTTTGCCGCAAGTCCTTGTTTCTGCTGCTGCGCAATAGAGGTCATGCAGGGCATGCCAGCCCTTTGAACAGACGCTTTCCAGACCGTCTTTAAATATTTCTGGCGGGGACTCGGTGTTGGTTCTGGCTGTGATTGTCGTCCTGTCTGCGAAGTTAAATAATTCCTGAGGAGTTACGGGGGATCTCCTCAAATGCCTCCTGATCAGCGATATCAAACCCGGTGCAAGGCTCATTGCCTGCGAGGATAAATGGCAGGTTCAGGCGTTGACTTGGGGCACAGGGGTGGGCCCGATTGCACACCTTTAGACACGCTGCTCAACCAGATGCTCAGGGCGTTGACACAAAGTGATTACTCAAGAGGGATACAGGGAAAGGGTTGAATTCCGGCAACTGTTCGCTGTGGCATTAATTAGATAAATCGTCATTCAGCATACATCTCTACAGGGAGTATTATTTTTATTTTTTGATTATTTAGTTGTTACGGACTTGACTAACAATTGACAGACAGCTGCAGATAGAATAGTATATTCTTTGCTGCATTTCAATCTGTATTAGAGTAATCTAAAAGTAGATTTAATATTCCCTGTAGGATCTGACATTGGTTGACACCTAACTACCTAACTGTTTCTGTCCAGGCCGACCGAAGTTAGTTGTGTATCATACTCGGTTGTGTGTCATGTTGAGGTAGTATTCAGTGTGGATTCTAGTTTAGATCACACACACTGTAGCTCATGAGTGATGCAAGCACTAGTGAGGAGTTGTTAGTGGACGACCTTAGGGTCACTCGAACGACTGCTTTCAGTCGACCCATGACTTTCCTAGAGTTAGGTCCAGGAGACGAGAGAAGACTGCGGAGAGAGGCTAGAGAGAGAGCAGCAGCAAGGAGAGCGAGGGACGCCGCGGTCAGCGCCAGGTCTAGAATTACAGCTAGTACCGGTACGACCATGGCTACCTCCTCTACCATCTCGCAGGCCTCTTCACAGGCCACTTCGTCAGGAATCAGTCGGAGTGGTTCTCAGGCTTCTGTTAGCCAGAGTGTTGGCTCGCAAGTCAGCCAACAGGCTCAACTCACGTCGGAGGATTATGAAATCCTGCAAGCAGAAGAACTTCAGGATGAGCTACAGCGGCAATTGGATGAGGCAGCAGAGAGAAGAAGAAGAGCAATAATGAGAAAAGCTAGACTAGATAGTAGATTGCACGAACTAGGCAAGCTAGAAGCACTAGATGAGTCCACACTTGATCCTGCTATGCAAGCATTGCGGAATTCGCTCCTATGTGTGGCGGAGACGCATGTTGCTCAGCAGGAAATGTTGGCTGCACTACTGGTAGGGCAAAAACGAATTTTGGCTGCGCTTCAGGCTCCTCGTCCAGTGATGAGGCAGCCTCAGTTTGCTGTAGCTCCTCCATCCGTTGCAGGTCCATCAATGACACCGTCGCCGGTTGGGCCCTCATTCTCACCTATGTTTGGTATGCCTCCTCCAGGTGGTTATGTGGCGACTAGTGGTCCGGTCCTTAGAGTCTCTGTCATACCATCCACGACAATGGTTACTACAGTCACACTGTCAAGTCAGGCCCAGGTTAGTGTGCAGCAACCTGTTCCGGTGGCTATGCAGCCATTGCAGCAATCTCTTGGGCCAATGCAGCCTATGCAGTGGATGCCCAAAATACCCTTGTTGAGTCCTAAGCCCTTCTCTGGCAACAGGAAGAAGGATGAGGACTTGGATACGTGGGTGCGGACGGTGCCTACCTATGTGAGGCACAAGCTCACCAGGCCGGAGCAAGAAGTTGTAGTGGCTGCCTCCTTTCTAGAAGGGTCAGCAGCCCGCTGGTTGAATGGCCTAGTGCAGCAGCAGGGCTACGGTCAGAACTTCGATCCTTGGGCCCAGGCCCAGACATTGGAAGACTTCGTACGGTCCGTGTATAATAGGTGGCATGACCCTCAAGGGGCTCAAAAGGCCATAGACACGATCAACAATCTTTGTGCCAGAAGGTACAAGAATGTTTGTGAGCTCACGGATACCGTAGAACGTCTGCTCGTGGTACCTGGTGTGCGCTTTGACCAGCAGGTACTCCTCACGGATTACCTAAGATGTCAGCCTTCAGAGGTTAGGGCAAAGCTAGTGGATGACGCCTATGTCGAACAGCACAACTTCACTTCCTTCAGCAAGAAGGCCTTAGATATAGAGGCAAAACTGGGGTCCGCGCATTAGAGTCAGGCAGATGGTAGGAAAAAAAGACTCCCCCAGGACTGGAAGAAGAAAGGGGAACTAATGTTCGCCGACCACGATGGTCAGGCAACAAAAATTGACGACTTCCTAGACTATGGGGAGGAGACAGAGCATGATGGGGCCAGAGAGACTTCGGAAGGGGGAGTTGTGGCACCCATAAAAAAAAAGGCTAGGGGGACCGGGAAGAAGAAGGTAGGCCGGTCTACGGGTCAGGGTGACCAAGGAACCCCCGCCTGGGTGAAACTTGGTTTAGAGTATGAGGTGTGGAGGGACCGAGTCGCTAGGGGTACGTGTATGAACTGTGGCAACTATGGCCACACGCCCAGAACGTGCCGAGGTAAGAAAGTCCTAACGACGGTAGCCACTCCAACGGTGGTGGGACTATCTTCGAACCCTGGCGGTGCTTCACAGGGAAACACCTCAGGCCAGTAGGAGTTTTAGCCGCTCTTACTCGCGCTGAACTGGTAATGTTGCCTTCCCCACTTCAAGCGTTGGCCAGGGCTAGTGACCCACGTATCGGCCCGTAGACACATTCAGACCCACCGACGCTCTGTTCGAGAGATGTGTTTGAGGCCCTAGAAGAGTTGAGACTGAGTGGTCAGGGAAGGACCCCAGAGACTATTGGGCGATGATCAGAAGAGGTCCAAAGGGTGAACATTTCGTGGTAGAGGTAGATGTAGGTGTCCGCAAAGTGGGCGCCTTCGCAGACATAGGCTCTACACGAAACTTCATCAGTCATGCTTGTGTGGATAGACTGCGCTTAGGGGACCAAGTGCAGTGGCTTAGCAGAACCGTAGCTTCTACGCTGGCCAACAAGCACCAAATGATTGTTAAAGACTATATCAAGGACATAGTTTGTTCCTTCTCTTATGGAGGAGGGGAAGTGAGACATAAAATATCATTCCTCGTTAGCGACGAACTGCCCTTCGATATGCTACTAGGCATGTACTACCTCGAGGTTGCTCAACCTCAGTTCGATTGGGATAGAAAGGTGTTGTTACACAAGCTGCCAAATGGTAGGACCGTAAGACTGCAAAAGTTTAAAGCTAGCAGTCTACTGGAAAACTACGGCTGCATGTGTGCCTCCTCTTTCTATAACTATTATAAGCAGAATCGCGAGGAGGGCATGTATCTAGTCTTTGTCTCTGAAAAAGGGGAGGTTGTTAAAACACCCCCAGAGATGGAATCAGTCGCCGCGCAATGTTCCGACCTTTTCGAGGAGCCCACAGGCGTGGTAGAAAGGGAGGTGGTCCATGCAATAGAGGTTGTCCCAGGTAGCAAGGTGCCTAGAGGACGAATCTATAAGATGTCTCCTGCGGAGTTGGATGAGCTCCGCCGCCAACTCAAGGAGCTCACAGAAAAGGGATGGATTCAGCCTAGTACCTCCCCTTACGGTGCGCCAGTCTTATTTGTCCCTAAGAAGGGAGGTATCCCGAGGATGTGCCTTGACTATAGGGGCCTCAATGCCATCACTATTAAAAATGCAGAGCCCCTACCTCGCATCGACGACCTACTGAATAAAGTGCAGGGATGTTGGTACTTTACTAAGATAGATCTAAAGTTTGAATACCATCAAATTACCATTAGACCCGAGGACCAGCATAAAACTGCATTTCGGACCAAGTACGGTCTGTACGAGTTTGTGGTGATGCCCTTTGGTCTATGCAATGCCCCTGGGACATTCCAGCACGCCATGAATAGGATATTTCACGAGTACTCAGACAAGTTTATCGTTGTGTACCTCGACGATATTCTTATCTTTAGTAGGACTGTAGAGGAGCACGCTGAGCACTTGAAAATAGTGCTAGGTCTCCTAAGATAGCACCAATACAAGATTAACTTGGAGAAATGTGAGTTCGGTCGCACCAAGATATTGCACTTGGGTCATGAAATCTCCGCGGATGCGTTGAGGCCGGACGGTGCTAAGGTGGGCAGCATACGTGATTGGCCCAAGCCTCAGACTGTTACTGAGGTCAGATCGTTTTTGGGGATGACGGACTACTATCGTCTGTTTGTTAAGAACTATAGTACTATAGCTCCCCCATTTAACAGATCTAACTCGACTTGACACCCCTTGGGAGTGGACTGAAGAGTGTGAGGCGGCCTTCAGGAAACTGAAGTATGCTTTGACACACTATGAGGTCCTCAAACTTCCCAATTTTGATAAACCCTTTGTCGTGACCACAAACGCCAGCCAATATGGCATAGGCGCGGTCCTTGTGCAAAAGGAGGGGCCACAGTTGAGACCGATCGAGTATATGAGTAAGAAGATGCCATATCAAAAGCTACCAAAGTCCACGTATGAGCGTGAGCTCTATGCCCTATATAGAGCGCTGGTCCATTTGAGACTATCTCCTAGCCAGATTCTTCTACGTGAGATCTGACCATGAGACCTTGCGTTGGATCAAGACACAGCCTATGCTCTCTTATGCACTCAAGCGATGGATACAAGTGATAGACATGTATGACTATCAACTTGATCCAATTAAGGGAGAGTACAACAAAGTGGCTGATACACTATCTCGTCGGGCAGATTATCTGGGCGCGTTAGTTACTGAATTTGGCATATCTAACGATTTAACTCGATCATTGGTGCAAGTCTATCAGCAAGATCCAGTTATGTCTGAGATCATCCGTAAATTCCAAGCGAAGGACAAAGTGACTTTGGATAAATTTACGATGGTAAACGGCTTGCAGTTTCTTGAGAAGGCAGGGAATAAAAGACTGTGTACGCCTAATAGACAGTCTTTACGTAGTTTATTTCTAGGTGAGTGTCATGATGCAACTGGTCATTTTGGTTATAAAAAGACTTCAGCTAACTTAGTGCAGAAATTTTCGTGGCCCACTATGATGCAAGATGCGAAAAAGTACGTTGACACCTGCCAGGTTTGCCAAAGGGACAAACCTAGGACTCACGCTCCACTCGGGCTCATCAAGCCCTTGCTGATTCCTGAAGGTCCTGGTCAGAGTGTGTCCATGGACTTCATGGATACTCTTGTGACCAACAAGTCTGGAAAAAGGCACATTTTCGTGATAGTGGACCGCTTTCTAAGTATGCAAGACTTATCGCTATGCCAAAAACTGCTAAAACTGACTATGTCATCAAACTGTTTCTGGATAACTGGGTTAGGGATTTTGGACTACCTACGTCGATAGTAAGTGATAGGGATGTGAGGTTTACCAGCGAACTGTGGCAGGCAACAGCTGAGCAGATGGGTACCAAGCTGCAAATGACGTCAGGGAATCACCCTGAGTCAAATGGCCAAACAGAACAGATGAACCGGGTAGTACAGCACCTGCTTCGACATTATATTAAGCCAAGTCTGGATGACTGAGACGAGAAGTTACCTCTCGTCGCCAGCCTGTACAACAATGCTGTGCGGTACTACTGGTATGACTCCCAACCAGCTGCACCTTGGTTGGAAGCCCAAAACTGCACTTGACTTTCTGCTACTAGAAAGGCAACCCACTGCACTGACTGCAGCACCTGGCAACATAGAGTTCGCTGTCAATTATGAACAGATGCTGCAGCAGGCCGTCAAACACATTAGAAAGTCTCAGGATGCTATGATCGCATCTAAGAATAAACATAGACGGCCCACTAACTTTCAGGTAGGTGATAGAGTCTGGGTAAAGTCATCTGAACTAGGTCAGGGGTTGGGGATTTCACGTAAAATGATGTCACAGTACTTTGGGCCCTAGGAGATCTTAGACATTGTAGGGAATCAACCGGATGGGCCTTCATACGTGATTCGCATTCCTGCACACTTGCGTACTTACCTTGTTTTCCATGCATCCAAGTTGGCACCTTTCGCTGCCACAGATCAGTTTCCTTCC